CAGGGTCCCTTCGGAGAGTCGATAGAAGATAGTAAATAGCGAGTAAAGAACAATATGTACGTTACTCACAGTGGGGTCTGAGCCTAGCGTAGGCTCAGAGCGAAGCACAAGCGCCTCGTCGTTGAGGTTACCAGGTGGTCCGGAGCCATCGGAGGGCGCTCCTCCTCCGACGGGCGCCGGGACAAGTGCCTCCTCACGGAGGTGAAGCACGCCGAGCCAGTCAGTGACGAAGTCTAGGCTTCCGAAGAGGAAGGCCTGGGACGGCTCGAAGATGGGTGGAACCCACATCCCAACAGGTGGGAGTGTGGGAAACTCCAGTGAGCCAAAGCGAGTCGTATCGCTTGAGCCCGCCATGGCGAAGGTGGCGGAAAGATGGGCCATCCGATGACCAAAAGCATGAACGTACGGCGTTCTCCCCACGAACGGCGCCAACTGTCGGTGCAAAAAGTGACCAACACGTAAATATTTGTAGTTTTGCCATATGTTGTGATCGGATGTGGCCTAGCACTCAATGACACAGGGTTTATACTGGCTCAGGCAACGTGCCCTACGTCCAGTTTGAGTCGGTCGGTGACTTTATTCCTGAGCCCAGGTGCTTGAAGTTTGCTGTGGGGTTACAAATGAGAGGGAGTAAGATGGGGGTATCAGAGGTCCGGTCGGACTCCGAACCAAAGGGCCAAGAGTGACGGGAGCTCCAACGTGTGCTAAGTGTTCGAACGTATGCTCTGTCTGGATTTAGAGTTCTAGAGCCAAGCAGAGAGGATCGAAATCAGCTATCCGAATCATTCGTTGGTTGTTTGAATCATTTCCCTTTTTGGAGAGAGCGCATCTCCTTTTATAGATGAAGGGGACGGCTTTACAAGAGAGAGAGTGTGAGAGAAAGAGAGTGTGTGTGCTTCCTAGTCTTGTTGCCCACGCCGTCGGGTACAAGATGGTTTGTCAGCGCCCACAATACTGTTGACGCCCAGATGCATGTGGTAGGCTCCATCGTGTTCTTCTGGTATGGCCAATGTCGGCGCCTACCATACTGTAGGACAAATGTCAGCACCCATAACACTGTTTGTGTTCTGATCACGTCTGGAAGGTTGTAGAGCACCCTTCTGACATGATCTGACAGCACTATCCTCTAGGTGCGCAGGGTACGGTCCTCGGTATTGCGGTTGACTTGAGAGCCCTGTCTTACTCAATCCGCCTGATTCTTTGGGTCCTCACCGAGCGGGCGTCCCCGGTCGGTCGTTTCCCAGTCGGCTCCGACCGCGCCGGTCGGAGAAGAGCTGTAAGCGGGGCTTCGGTGTACTCCCGGTCGGAGAAGCGGGTCGAAGTCGGAAGCGAGCGTTGTCCTTCCCTGGCCAGACCTTTCGGTCAGAGAAGCGGGCCGGAGTCGGAAGCGAGCGTCGCCCCTCCTTAGCTAGGACTTCTGGTTGGAGACTGGATCGCTTTTTCGGCCTGGCGTCAGGTATCTTGGGCCGGCCCAGGAGTTGCGCGTCGTTCACAACGTCGTCTGCTGAGCCGAGCTTTTGCTGTGAAGTAGGTCCATTAGGGACCCCGGGTTATCAGTCTGTAAATGTACTTGGCATTAAATGTGCACAAGTAGATTGATACTAGAAAATGTACAACAATTTAATCTGTAAATCTACACAATTCAGTGCCTTATACAAGTAGATTCATATGGTACACTACACCTGTACAACAATTTACTAACTAATATGTTATAATTTTACTCAACATAAAAAAGGTAGGAGTTTTTATGTCTATGTTTTTGGGGAGCCCCTTCTCTAGTCCCCTTGGTCTTAAAATAATTGCCTAAGATTATTTAAGAACCTGAGTTCAAATTTATAAAAACCTAAATTTAATATTCAAAAAAATAATCTTTGGCATCAATCATCAGTATAAAATTGCAGAGTACCTGATATGCAGATGGCTACAGTGATAGTCTAGAGCTGGGAGGGCTGCTATCAGATTGGAACCGTTGTTTCAAGGAAGAAGCATTATGTATAGCTGGGTAGCTGCTATCAGATTAAAACCAAGGTCCTGTATCAACAAATTGCAGAGTAAAAGACAAATCAAAGTTGGAAACAAACACTAGTAAATATTGGCATATAAAGCTTAGGAACTAGTTCGCTGGTTCAAGAATAATTTTAATTGATCGAGCATCACTTGTGCTGTTGTAGTAAACAAAAAAATGCTATCTTAAAACTATACAATAAAAATGCTAGTATATTTTTCATAGTTGATAACACCTAAAATTCTTTTGTTTTATACATCTAATAGAAAGAAGTTTTGGTAATAATTTATAGTCACTGAAAAGGACATTGCACTTTTTTTTATTGTCCATTAACCAATCACACATGTGGAACAAAGTCAAGAATGAATATACCACAAATCACAGGTCCGCAGTTCAACAGTATAAAATTGAAGCACAAAACCAAGAAAGAACTCTCGTATAAAGCAAAAATGCCTCCTAGAAACATGTACCTCCTGCACTTTGTGCTCACGGACTTCAACTCAGCCTGAAAACAGTGTTGTAGAAGAACGTGTCGTCACAGTTAAAGGAGAAGAATAACTTTTTGGACTACTCTAGGTATGTAGATTTCTGCATTCAAGTATTTGGGCAGATTCACGGAAGAACCATAAGGAATTATAGCAGGTGTAAATAGATCTGCGTGCTATAACAAATTAAAACTAAGAACATTGAAGAGAAAATTACTATTATAGGACGCGAAATAATGGGTTTCGTTATTATAGGACTTCAATCGTCAACTTCGCTAAAACAACATTTAAAACGTTGGCACTTTGTTTTATATGACATTTGGTCTTTTTAATTACTTTTCTCATTTCAAATATATGTATTTTGTCATGGGATGACCGTATTGCCCTCAGCATCGACCTTCTCGAGCATCATTTTCACGCCGGCCATGTCCTTCTCTGATAGCTTCTTTTGGTACCCGATGGTGCCGTGGATGTGGGAGATCACCAGCTTCCTCCTCCGCTTGCTCGCCGAAAGTGCCAGCAGGCAGGAGATGATGGCGTACTTCCTGGCCGTTTTCTTGGGGCTCGGTTCCAGCAAAAGTTAAGTTCGGTTCGTTTCGTTTATTTGTGAGGCTGGTATCACGTGAGGGTGTTGTATAGTTGTTCGGATACTAATAAAAATAAATTATAGAATCCGTCAGTACTCCACGAGACGAATTTATTAAGTCTAATTAATTCGTTATTAGCTCATGTTTACTGTAGCACCACGTTGTCAAATCATAGACTAATTAGGCTTAAAATATTCATCTCGTAAATTAGTCGTAAACTATGCAATTAGTTTTATAATTAGTCTATATTTAATACTCCATGCATGAATCCAAATATCCGATGGAGGCAGCGACAAAAATTTAGAATGAGCAACCAAACACCCCTTAGTCTCTGCTTGGTTCGAATGCTCTGCAGGGTCCGATTTTGGCTCTGACAGCCTCCATTGGACCGCTCCAATGTGCATGTTTGTTTCCTATAGCTCATGATTCGATTTTAGAGTACAATAGAGCTGCTCTTAGACCGTCTTCAACAACCATTATCAAAAAAATAAGACATATTTCACGTTTGGGTAGCACTACAGACAAATGGTTTAATACCTTTTTTTTTGTCTTCTCCAACAACAAGACTCAAAAAAGAATTTTTTTCTGAAAATGGGTCTCCAAGAGAGATGATACTCAGATTTGGGTTATACCTCTCCTGACACCCAAAATGGATCTTTCATATAGATACTCTATAGGAGGCTATATGTATTATGTTGGAAACCCATTTTAGGTTTGAGTCTCCTGATGCGTCTCCTGTCAGAGACAGCCTTAGGACAGTCACAATAAGATATTAATAGTAATTTCTATCTCTATTAATTAGATTGCTAACTAAGCAAAAGCTGACGTAGCAGTCTGAACAACGAGGAAAGAGAGAGAAATCTGATGAAACCGTTTCTTAGAAGAGAAACGGAGTCTACTCGTGAAACAAGGCATGAAGAAACCGCGACTTTGCCGTTGGGAAGAAACTACCGACGTCTAGCCATAGGGGCCCGCGATGGGACTGCAGGCGTGCTCGCCGTTGCCAGGTCGTCGCAGCCAGCAGCAGCGCCGCGCCGTCAGCTGCGCCGCTGCCTGTGCCTCACTGTCGGGCCCCGGCCGCGCCTCCGCCCCAGCCGCCGCACCGCCTCTGCTGGCCAAGCCGCCACATATACGCGCTGCTGGTCACGCGCCACGCAGTTGCGCGCTCTGTCCGCAGCGCAGCCGCACGCCCGCCGTCGCCATGCCTCCGCCCAGCCTCGCTCGCCTCGCCCGCCCAGCGCGCCTCCCGCCCGAGCCATGCATGCTACTGTCACGCTGGCCACACATGCCTGTCCGTCGTGCTCGCGTGCCACGGCGCCGCCCGGACGCGGTCGCCTGATCATACTGGTCAAGGCTTCAGCGTTGGCGTCTCGCTTATACCGGCCTCTTGCATGCACTTGCACGCGCCATGCACACTCCTACCACAAGCATGCGGGCCGGCCGGCAACACACCCGCTGCTTGTACCATCCTGTGCTTTTGTTGGTAGAGAGAATGAGAGGAGAGAGAGAGAGAGCATCTGAGAAAGGGATAAGGGCACTCGCAATGCAGACTCTACAATGGTTTCTATGTCTATTTATTACCCTTCTATTTATTGATTTTTGCTGATGTGGCAATGTATTTATTGAAGAAAGAGAGGGGAGAAACAAGAAACGACGTCTAACATAGACGCTGAGTCTACGCTTCGACCGATGCCGAAGAAACCAGCCCCCGTGCGCATTGTGGAGTTGTCCATCGTTTCCATGGATCCGGTGAGCCTTCCCCTTCCCTCCCATCACCGCCACCCTCGCTCCCACGCTCGCCCTCAACCCGCTCCCACAAGGCTCTGAACTCTCTCCGCTGCGTGCTCTTCCTTTCCCATGCCAGACCACCGCCCTCTCCAAGGCCCCCCCCACGAGCTCCTCAAGGCTATTCTCGCTCTCTCCTCACTGACCGGCTGCAGATCGAGGTCCCCAGGCCCAAATCGAGGTACGCCCCCAAGCTCCATGACCATCCCAAACTGATCTCCTCCTGACAACAATCTTTAACCCAAATCCATACCCAAATCTCTGCATAGCTCCCTTCGATTCATATCGAGGTCCATCCATAGCTCCCTTCAATTCCATCTCCCCCATCCACTGTGACCCAAAAATATCCCCAAATCTCACAGATGAATCGATTAACAAAGACTGATTCTCGGCAAGGCAGAGGTGTCCGTAGAACCCATTCTCCATCCGTCCGTGCTGTTGGGACCTATGCTCCAGTCGCCGGAGCTGCTGCAACCCGTGCTCAAGCTTTCAGTCATTGCTTCTATTTCTTCTCGTTCCCCTTTCCTGTACTGCTGCTCTTTCTTTTATGCTACTCTCTTTCTACCACTGCTGCCCACTGATCTGTAATCCATGGATGGAGATGGCAGCATCGACCCTAGTGATCTGTACTCCATGGATGATATCTTCAAGAGCAAGAAATTATAGATGATTTAGGCGATCATCTAGTATCTGAATTGCAGTCCGTTGCTGATGTTTTACAAGGTGGAAGAACTCAGCGTGGTCCTAGGCGATATGTGGACAGACCTCGTGAACAAGCCAGCCAACAACTAATGGATGACTACTTCTCGCCTAATCTAGTCTACAATGACACACATTTTCGTAGAAGATTTAGGATGAGGAGACCCCTCTTTCCAAAGATTGTTGAGGCCTTAAGTGGGTGGTCTGAGTATTTCACCTTACGACCGGATGCTCTGAATCGCCCTAGATTCTCACCAATTCATAAGTGTACAGTAGCGATTCATCAACTGGCATATGGCGGTTCTGCAGACCAGCATGATGAGTATCTGAAGATGGGAGAAAGTACTGGTGTGGAGTGCTTGAAAATGTTTGTTAAGGGTGTCATTGAAGTATACGGTGAAGTATACTTGAGACGACCCACAATACAAGATGTAGAACGATTGTTGGAGATCGATGAGCGTCGTGGTTTTCCTGGCATGATAGGGAGCATTGACTGTATGCATTGGCATTGGAAAAAATGTCCCTACGCATGGAAGGGACAATATACTTGTGGTGATCATGGTGTACCAACAATCATTCTAGAGGCCGTTGCTTCACATGACCGATGGATATGGCATTCTTTCTTTAGAGTGGCAGGATCCAAAAATGACATCAATGTGCTGAATCAATCTACTTTGTTCGTCGATCAGTTAAGAGGAGAAGCTCCCCAGGTGCAGTACTTTGTGAATGGAAGGCGATATACCAAAGCTTATTATCTTGCAGATGGCATATACCCAGAGTGGGCTGTTTTTGTTAAGTCCATACATGCACCACAATCAGCTGAGCACAAGCTATTTTCAGAACATCAAGAGGGGTGAAAGCATCTAGGCCCCTAGTTGGGTTTCGGTGATTAATGACAATACAAGATTACTATGACTAATGTGTGTTTTGCAGAGGCAATTAAGTTAGGTCATGGTAATGGAGATCGATTGGGCAATCATGGATGTCATGCCCCTACGATGGAAATCGTTTCGGTTTTCAAAGGATGGACGACAAGGTTAAGGACGACTAGTTCTAAGTGTCAATTGGAGTTGGAGAGACACTTAGAGTAGTTTAGGACTTTGTTTTTCCTTTGGCCGTACTATTAAGGGGGATATAGACGGGTAGCTTGACCTAGGTGAGTCTAGTGAGTTAGGTGTGGTGCACACTTGTTAAAACTAGCACTAGGTAGCTCCTAAATATGCCTAAGATCCTTTGGAGTAAACTTTATTCACATATGATCGAGAGTTGGAAGTGAATCGAGGGTCAAAGACTGACCAGACGCTGGCTCCGGTGCGACCGGACGCTGGCCGCAGGGTCCGGTCAGTTCATTTGACTGAGGTGAACTAGTCCGGTTTGACCGGACACTAGAGAGGTCAAGTGACCGGACGCAGAGGGCCAGTGTCCGGTCGACTCCAGTAAGGTTCCAGAGAAGGAATTCTGCGACCGGACGGGTCTGGTCAGTACCGATCGGACCCTGGGGGTTCAGTGTCCGATCGAGTACAGTAAGGTTCCAGTGAGGGATATTTGCGACCAGACGTGTTCGGTCAATGGTGATCGGACCCTGTCAGCGTCCGGTCAACACTTAAACACTGGAGTGCGGGTATAACTGACCAGAGCGTCCGGTCCACATGACCGAAGCATCCGGTCACCCCGCAGAGGCACATAACGGTTCGTTTTTCAGCCCATGTTATAAATAGAAGCTCCGCTCGTGTGTGGAGTTACTTTTGCTCATTCCAACAGCTGAGAAACATGTTTGTGAGTGCCAAGAAGAGCAAGGTCCTAGTGAGGTGATTGAGATTTGAGAATCCAAGAGAGTAGCCTCATTAGTGAATCAAGAGTAGCAAAGTGTGCATCCATCCTTCTCATTAGGCTTCGCGTGGTCAAGTGAGAGTTCGTGCTTGTTACTCTTGGTGATCGCCATCACCTAGACGGCTTGGTGGTGATTGGGAGCTTGGTGATCACCCGGCGGAGCTTGTGGGTGACCCAACTCAAGTTGTGAGTGGTTGTGGGTGATTCACCGCGATGGAGTGTCGAAGAATCAACCCGTAGAGAGCACTTGATCCTTGCGCGGATCAAGGGGGAGCTACACCCTTGCGCGGGTGCTCCAACGAGGACTAGTGGGGAGTGACGACTCTCCGATACCTTGGCAAAACATCGCCGCGTTTCCTCTCCTCTCTTTACTTTGAGCATTTACTTTGAGCAATTCAATTCTTATCATTTACATTCCTAGAATTGCCATGCTAGAGTAGGATTGGAACTTAGGTTGCAAGTCCTTTTTGTGCAATAGAACATTAGAAACACTTTCTAGGCACAAGGGGTTAATTGGGCTATCAATAGGATTTAATTATTGCAAGAAAATTTAGAATTAGCCCAATTCACCCCCTCTTGGGCATCTTGATCCTTTCAATTGGTATTAGAGCCATGTGCTCACACTTTTAAGCTTAACCGCTTAGAGAAAGATGTCTCACGGGGATGGTCGTCCTCCTATCTTTGAGGTAGATGACTTTCCATATTGGAAAATTCGCATGGAGGTGTACTTAGAAGCTCTAGACGTTGGTATACTTATAGCCGCCTCACAAGGCTTCCCAAAACCTCGGGATGCTACTCACTTACAAGGCGATGAAGTGAATTATAAAAAATGGAATTCAAAGGCTCATTTTCCTAGGCGTCCTCATGGTGGTATGGTGCCCCCTACAGAGCTTATGCGTCATTGCTTTAAGGAGCCCTTTGGAGAGGGGTCGAGGAGGAACCCCAGTGACCTTACTCCTACAGCTAGAGTCCTAGAGGCTATCATAAGGAGGACACTACTTCCCAGGTTGAGATACAGAGAGGGCTTGACTCGCCTCTAGCTTTGGGTCCTTAACGCCCTGATGTAGCAGACAATGTTTGATATCTAGGACCTACTTCTATCAGAGATAGAGGATACTATAGCTGAGGGCTTCAAGGGTCGCAGACAGCTTCCATATGCACATTGGATCACATTCCTTATTCTCAAGGATGTGCAAGTTAGGACACCAGAGATGGTTGCAGAGTACAGAGGTGCCACCACAGAGTTTCCAACTTATAACATGGCACAGAGGATCAGGCATAGCACACCACAGGCACCCACTCAGCCTCGCCGTCGTCCAGATGTACCAGAGTCCACAGCTCAGCAGGACGAGATTATTCGAGGCATAGCCGCTACTAAGGAGGAGCAGCTTGAGGCACAGCAGGAGGTGAGCGAGCCCAGTGACAGCTCAGATGATGACTACCAGCCTATTCCTCAGATGCCTCCACGCAGACATGACCATGAGGCCGGCAGTTCCAGCTTAGCTCCACCAGCACCGCAGACGGACCTCGCTCTCATTGCTATTCTTGAGCGGATGCAGCAGGATCAGGCACGACAGGCTTATGAGACCGCTACCAACTTTGCATTAGCCAGGCTCACAGATTTAGTTTCAAATACAAGAAGCAGTCCTCCAAGAAGCAGAAGACCAAAGAGATGCATCGCCAGATGAGTTACTCATGCAAAGAAGAGCTTATGGGATATATGTAGCATGTAGTAACAGCACTTGGGGCTCCACAGCCACAGCCTTCGCCCAAGCTTGCTCAGCCTGTCACCACTACGACGACTCTAGCAGTATAGCCCAGTGGGCTTCAGAGTCAGGGACAGCCTCCAGCTCAGTTTGCTTCTCCCACAGTACAGGTGTCCCAGTGGTTATCCTTGCCAGTTGTAGCCCCACAGTTCACACCACTTCGGATGGGCTTCACACTGGATCAGTCATCTTCGCTGTTTGTGCCTAACACGTCAGTCTCCAGGAGTCTTGGAGCTTCTTTCAGCGAGTTGACAGGGATGCCTACACCGCCTCATATGCATGCCCCGGGTCCTTCTACTACAGCTCCAGTCGCCGTGACGACACATAGGCTTCCTTCTTTAGTTGCTTCCTCAGATCCGACAGATGTACCAAAGAAGATCATCGGGCAAACACTCCGCCCCAATTTTAGACTCCTGACCGCTTGGTGGACACTTCCTACTTCAAAGGGTCAACAAAGATAGAGCTCGAGTGGTCGATGATGATGGCACCCAGTTCACGCTTGCTCCTCGCACTTCAGCGCCCAACTCGTCCGCTGCAGCCCCGCCGACCGACCCTTAGGTTTTGGTGTTTGACGCCAAAGGGGGAGAGGGTTCGAGTATGTAGACTCAGGGGGAGCGACTTTTAGGGGGAGCCTAGTTAGCTATTAGTCTATTACATACATTTGGAGTTTGATTTGTGTGATACACTATTACTATTATGCATTCGTGTGTTTACCTTCATGCATTAAACTATATCTATGTGATAGTGATATCTACGTGATTGTGATATATGACATGTGTGCTCTCTACTTCATAACTATTTATATGTCATATCATTTGTGCTATCCTCATTTGCTTTGCTTCCGCGTTTATACTCCGATGCAAATGAGCTTTATTATTTGTACTCATGCTTAATTCATATCCTTTGAGTACATTGTGTTGGCTTGGGTCATATAAGCTTGCCTAACTCTTTTGTTATTATTGACAAAAGCTTATATGATCCAAGCATGATAAAAACCTCAACTCTTTCATATACTCGAGGTGGTATTGTCATCAATCACCAAAAAGGGCGAGATTGAAAGCATCTAGGCCCCTAGTTGGGTTTCGGTGATTAATGACAATACAAGATTACTATGACTAACGTGTGTTTTGC